ATATCATTCAAAGTTGGAGATTCGGTTTTACTTAAAGTCTCGCCGTGGAAGGGACTTATAAGATTTGGTAGAAGGGGAAAGTTGAGTCCAAGGTTTATTGGACCATTTAAAGTTCTTCAGAGGATCGGGAATCAAGCTTACAAGCTAGAATTACCGGAAGAACTAGAGGGTATTCATAATACCTTTCATGTGTGTTATTTGAGAAAGTTCACGGGAGATGTGCCCGACATAATTCCCATTTCTAAATTAAGGTTGGATGAAAACAAGAGGTTGATTGAAGAACCTGAGACAATCGTTGACCGTAAGATTAAGAAGTTGTGACGCAAAATGGTCGATTTAGTGCTTGTGCGTTGGAAACATACGAATGGGCCAAATCTCACCTGGGAAACGGAGAGTGACATGATAAGTCGCTACCCGTATTTGTTTGCTGATGTGTGATTCTGGGGACGGAATCATTCTAAGGGGGAGAGAATTGTAACGCCCGTGTTTCTAGGCTAGGCATTAATATTGACATAATAGTCTAGGTTAACCTTTGTAACTCATTTAGAAGAAATGAAAAGGAATTATGTGAATATTATGTGAAAATTATGTGTTTAATGCTTAATTATTAAAGTTTAATTAATTAAGACTAAAAATGAGCATCGAAAATAAATATTAGATAAAGCCGATATCTATTAAGAAAGTTGTAGTGGTCGTGACAAGGATTACGGATATATAAAGAATGCCGAAATCCGAGTTATAACGAAGAAGTTATGACCTGTCGAAGTTTCGCGACAAAACCGACACGGTGCCGCATGTCATAAAAAGTGAGTTTTTGATAAACTACTTTTTAGCCTTAGTGATCTAAACAAAAGTCGTAGTGTTCGTTAAACCGAGAGTATGTATAAAAAGAACGCCCAAATCTGACTTCGTATGAGGAAGTTATGATTTTTCTAAGTTTCAGCTTAGCAATAGACAGCTAAAAACTCGAATTTTAGATCGAATGATTTTTAGCCGACACAACCTAAACGAGAATTAAAGGTCTCGTCAATAGTAGTACAACGGTAAAAAGACAGATGAAAACGGACGTCGGATGAAGAAGTTATGATTTTTTAACAGATTTCTTGTCCCGGTCTGTTAAAAATTATAATATTAAAATTAAAATCAAAATTAGCCGACGAAGTCTAAATGAAAGTTGTAGAGCGTAATTTTACCTACGCGTCCATATAAAGAACGTCAAAAACAGAGCTCGTATGCGAAAGTTATGGATTTTAGAAGTTTTGGCGCGAAAATCGAGAAAAATTGCCAAAACCGAGAAATTTCGCATACGTGGACTTCGGCCACGTCACCCTCGCTCAAAACATGCCACGTGTCCGAAATTGATGAGTAACCTCGCATATATATGAAGTATTTTATATAAAATACGTGCTGTGTAAATATATATTGTTTGTTTATTTGAGATGGATGTTGAAGGAATGATTTATATAGGTTTTTAAATAATTTAAACTGTATATGTATTTTTATCTACAAAAATGTTGGGTAAAACATGGGTAGATGAAATAGTGGGTGTGTGATGAAAGGTGAGTTGGATAAATGAGATGATCAGTGATATAGATCATGAGTTAAGGGTGAGTGGTGAAATGAGATAATGAGTTGAGGGTGAGTGGTGAAATATGAGAAAAGCCCTTACCCAAACGTTGGCCCCCGTCATTCAGCAGAGTATGGATAACAACCATGGACTATTCTAAACGGTCTGTGGAACACTAGCAGGCTTGTAACCTGTAGGTGTGCGAACTATATGTTCATCAGCTGTACTCTAAAAACCCATTGACATGTATTGCGGGGGGGGGGGGGGATTCCTGTGGGAAATACTGTCGATAAATAAGAGCTATGGACTTATCACATGGCGACGATGTGACATCGTGCCTATTTGACATAAATTGCTGAGGGAAAGCAGTGTTGTCACCCCGATGTTTGCCTTATTTGACATAAATTGCTGAGGAACCCCCGAAGCAATGTTGTCACCCCTAGTGAAAATCCTTAGGCTAGGTCCCTTGTGATAGTTGTTTAGGGACGTAAAGTGAGGATAATGGGAATGGGTAATTAGGGTATTTTGGTTGATGAAATTAATAAATTTATTGTTGATTGAGAACTTAATAAGTTTATTATTTATTGTGGGTTGAAAACCCTATATGCTCACCAGGCTCCCAAGCCTGACCCACTCAGCTTTTTATATTACAGGTAGTGGACCCCGAGCATAGTCGGATGATGATGATGAGTGATTTTTGGATTATAGGCCGGTAGTTGTAAATAACTGTTGTAAGGCTTATAATGTCTTGTTTATGCTTTTGATCTGTATCGGAACATGACATCCCGAGGTTTTGATATGAAATAAAAATATATATTTCTTAAAGAAAGGTTTTGATAAATTTTTATCATGTTTTGTTTTGGGGACCAATTCCGCAATATCTTTTAAAAAGGATTTCTCTGACTTTGTTTTAAAAGCATAAATTAAATCGTTCTTTTCTGGCTGAGAAATTAGGGGATGTCACATCCGTAAAGATGTTGGTTTAACGACAGGGCTAAAGGTTTCGATGTAATCAAGGCCTGGTTGTAGGTTGAAGCCTTTGGCTACTAATCTAGCTTTTAGGCAATCAACAGATCTATTTGGGTTGAATTTGGTGCGATAAACCCATTTGCAACCGACGATATTAGGGGTTGAATCTTGAGGAACAAGGGACCAGGTGTGGTTGCGTAACAAAGCATCATACTCAGATTGCATGGCCTGACGCCAAGCTGGTTGTTTTAAGGCTTTAGTGATGGTATGAGGTTCAGGAAAGGATTGTATAACTGATTTGTAAAGGATAAAGTCATTGTTATAATATTTGGGATTTGGTTTTCGATATTTGGGAAGAGGCTGTGGGGCCGGGGGCTGGGTGTTGTGGGGCCGGGGGAGTGGGAGGTGAATCAGGTTGTGGTATGGGAAGTGTGGCTGGAGTGGGTGTGGGTGAAACTGGTATGAGATTAATATGAAGCCATGTGTCTGGATTTGGTGTTGATGGGGTTTTGATGTTGGTTAGGGATGTGTAGGGAAATTTGGTTTCAACAAAATGTACATGGCGTGAAGTATAGATTTTTTTTGTGATTGGATCGAGAAGATGGTAGGCACTTTGGGAGGAAGAGTAGCTGACAAAGATGCAAGGTTTTGATCGGGGTTGGAGCTTGTGTTTGGAGTATGGGTATAACCATGGGTAAGCTTGGCAGCCAAAGCTTCTGAGTTTTTCATATTTTGGTAGTGTTTTGAATAGGCGAAAGTAGGGAGAATTGTTGGTGAGAGTTGGTGTGGGAAGTCGGTTAATGAGATAAATTGTTGTAGAAACAGCAAAGGTCCAAAAAGTTAAGGGCATGCTTGCGTGAGACTGTAGGGATAAGTAAGTCTCAACTATATGTCGATGTCTTCGTTCGGCATAACCATTGTGTTCAGGGGTGTGAGGAGGATATGTGAGGTGAGATATGCCACATGAAGATAAATGAGAGGCTAATTTTACATATTCCCCACCATTATCAGAAAATAGTTGCTTGATTTTGAGTTGAAAAAAAGTTTTCAACAAGGTTTTGAAAACAAATGAAAGTAGTAAGAGAATCGGATTTTTGCTTTAATGGGTACAACCATATATACTTTGTGAAATGATCAACAAAGATGATGTAATATTTGTATCCGTCAATAGATTGAACTGGAAAGGACCAAATATCTGAAAAGATTAATTCTAAAGGAGAGGTAGAAGATAAAGAAGTTGTATGAAATGGAAGTTTGTGACTTTTATTAATGCAACAAGAATTACAATTATCTTTGGAACAAGTAATTGTAGGAAAAGTAGAAGCTAAATGTTGCAAAACTTTTAAGGTGTGGATGTCCAAGCCGATGATGCCATGGAGTGAACCTATGTGAGTGGGAAAGAAAGGCAAAATGTGGATATGAAGAGCGTAGCTCATAGATCCGTTTACTTGCTAGTCCGCAGAGTAGGATTCGTTGAGTTTTGAAGTCCTTGATAAGAAAACAAAAAGAGTAAAATTGGATTAGTATAGGATTATCAATGCATAATCGAGATATAGATATGATGTTGCGAGATATGGATGGAACACAGAGAATATTTTTGAGAACAAAAGTGGTAGTAGAAAACTTTAAAGTAAAGAACCAACATGAGTAATGGTAAGAGACGAACCATCCCCAATTACAAGTTCATCGGTGCCATCATAGGGTGCATGAAGAGATAAGGCTTTGAGGTCATTGGTGATGTAGTGAGAAGCACCACTGTCAAATAACCAATCAGAAGTGGAGGTGTTTGTGGTGTTCATGGCATGTGCCTGCGGAGAGGTGTTATAAGTGGTCCGAGGCAGTGAGGGTAAACTGACATGGGAGTATTTGTTTTTGAAGGCATAACAAGAGGTTAAGGAGTGACCTTTAGTGAAGCAAAATTGGCATTTACCAAGAAATTGTCTAGTGGGATTGGTGGTCTGTTGAGGGGTAGGGAGAAAAGGAGGGTTAGTATTGGAATTTCTATAATTCCCGGGTTTTGAAGGTGGTCGTTTGTTTGCTGCAAAAGCAATTGTTGGTTGATGAAGGGTACTAATGACAGGGGAAGTTTGAGCTAGAGAAAGCTCATGATTGATAAGCTTTTCATAAAGTTCATGGAAAGAGATGGGTGTGTCCCTGGCATGAATGGAGTCAATCACTGTTTTGTAGGAGGTAGAGTCTAGTCCAGTCAAGATAGCATCTTTAATGTCGTCTATATCCATCTGTTTGCCCAGAATACCTAGTTCATCCACTATGGTTTTAATGGATTGCATGTATTCAGTGATGGACTGATCAGGTGTTTTTGTGGTTTGTTTGAGGCGGTGTTGGAGTTGTTTGATGTGGCCACGAGAAGGTTTAGCATAATTGTTGGAGAGGATCTTCAAGGCCTCTAAGTAGGAAGAGGCATTAGTAATTAGCGGGACAATAGATGGAGAGAGAGTACCAACTATAGCACCGAACAGCAGGCGATCTTGGCGGAACCAGGCTGGGTAATCTTTGTGAGGAGTAGAAGTGCCATCGGTAGTGACAGTAGGTTGAGGCACATGGTGAGTGCCATCAATAATTTGTAGAGATCAAGGCCGTATAGAAGGGCTTCGATCTGAGTCTTCCAGCTCATGTAATTTGTGGATAACAGTTTTAGGGATGATGGGAATTGAACCAGGGTTATAGATGGAGTGGTGAGGGGGAGAGTATGAATAACAGAGGAATGAGAGCTGCCTTCGGTAGACATGGCTGGAGAAAAGCGATTGGAAGATTTAGGAGAAAATAGGGTTCCTGTCTGATACCATATAAGAGAATAGTTTGAAGATTGTATTTTTCATTGAGTCAAATACGACTACATATACAGGGGAAGATCCGATAGAATAGGATATGTTACAACAAATAAGGAAAACTAAAATTATATATATTTACAATAAATTATCTATATTTACAATTGACTAATAAATGTAACATATGTAAAAATATGTATCCGGTGGGTGTTATGTGTTAATAATTACCCCATTGAGATGCAAAACTAATAACATCCTCCACAGTAGAGAAGCGATGAAGATCTATTCCACACCATTTCGATATCCATTTATAGGTGTTGTGGGCAAACATACAATACACTAACAGATGGTCTGCGGTTTCCTCTTGACTCGAACACATTGAGCATAGAGTTGAGTTGGTGTTGACTCCTCTATGAGCTAAGGCATCAGCAGTCGGAATTCGTCCCAAACAGGCTCTCCAGATAAAGACTAACACTTTGATTGGAACCATACTATTCCATTCCATTCTTTTTATCGATACATCAGTAATAACAGAATCGATTTGATCCCTAAGGATATTCACTCTAAATACACCATCTCTAGCCAAAGAGAATTTCCACGAGTCCTTAGCATTCGAGAAGGAAAATGAGTTAATAATCTCCTTAAGTTCTTCAAGTTTAGCAATCTCAACTGGGGCCGAAGGGGTCCTTTTCCAATCCGCAGCAAAACCGTAAGAGTTTCTCCGTTCAGAAATACGTGATGATTTACGCTTTTCAAGCTTGAAGAGGTTTGGGAATCGAAGGGATAATGGTGACGTGCCCAGCCATGCTTCGTTCCAGAAGTTTGTGTTCTCCCTTGTACCTACAACCACATAAAACTAGTTATCTGGAATAGCGCTCATCAATTCAAACTCCAATTTTGCCATCACTATGTTATTCCACACGCCATTTATTGATTCTTTTGACATCATCGCCAACGGCTTTCTATGAAGGTTATGCAAACCATTGATAATTTCTTTCCACATGGATTTTTTATCATCTTTGAGTCGCCATATCCATTTAACCAATAATGCAATGTTGAGTGCTCTCATTGATCCCACACCGAGTCCTCCCTTTTCTTTATGAGCTAACACTTTTGACCATGCAACCCAATAAATTTTGTTCTTCTCATCATTACCACCCCAAAAGAATCGTCTACGAATTTTCTCTAGACTATTAATCACATTACACGGAGCCTTGAATATTGAAAAGAAATATAGAGGCAAACTACCCAGCACAGTCTTTACAAGGGTGAGCCGGCCTCCAATAGATAGCGAGTTAGCCTTCCAGCTTGATAACCTCGCCATACGCAACTGAATATCTATTTTGATTAAAAATCTATAACATGTATCATAAATGTTGTATTTAGTTAATACTTATTCTATCTTTAAAATAAATGTTTACTAACAACCAAGTTAGGACAAGATATCCTACATGAAACAATTTAGTTTTTATCTTAAGAGTAAATTACAGAAATGATCCTTGTGGTTTGGTCGAATTCTCAGTTTTGGTCCCTAAGTTTAAATTTTGATAAGTTGCATCCCTGTGGTTTGTGAAAATTGCACCGTAGGTCCTTGGTCCATATAAAAATACCAAATTACCCTTTCTATCTTTTTTTTTCTTTTAACATATATATATATATATATATATATATATATATTATTGTTTTTTATCCTTATTTTAATATAGTTAATATAGATTATTTATAAAATTATTTTTATTTATAAAACCAATTATCTAAATTATATAAAATCATATTATTATTATTATTATTATTATTATTATTATTATTATTTATTTTTTGCTTTATTTGTTTATCTTTGTTTTTGTGGTTTAAAAATCTTTTAATATTTTTGATGTTTTATTTATAAAAAAATTAATAATGTTTTTTTTGACGTTTTGTTCGTTTAAATTATATAATGATTTGTTTGATCTTTTTTCGAATAAACAAATTAAAATAATAATCCGAACATGAACAAAAATTATCCTTCGTTTTGTTAAACGAACGAACATGAACAATGGTCTCGTTCGTTCATTTATGTTTGTGAACGTTCGTTTATGATGTCTTCTTACGTTCATTTATGTTCGTTCATTTAATTTATTTATATTCATTACGTTAAATTTTTTTTATTATATTACCATATTGTATGTTCGTTTATGTTCATATATTTTCAATTGTGTTTGTTTATCTTTGTTCGTTTATGTTCATTCGTTTATGTCCGTTTAGTATGTTCACGAACATAAACGAACGAACATGAACAATATAATTTGTTAAACGAACGAACAAGAAAAAAAGAATCTCGTTCGTTTATCCGTTCGTGTTCGTTTGTTTGTTCGGCTAACTTAAGCGAACGAACACGAAGATAAACAAACACCGTCTGTTCGTTTGTTCGTTCGTGTTTGTTTATTTGTTAAACGAACATGAACAAAATCATTCGGTTGTCGTTGCCACCGCTAAGATAGAATATAATTATTTAGGCAATAAATGAAGAAGCACTAACATATAAACGAATGATTTTGTTCATGTTCATTTAACAAATAAACAAACACCAACGAACAAACAAACATGCGGTGTTTGTTAATCTTCGCGTTCGTTCGTTTAAGTTAGCCGTACAAACAAACGAACACGTACGGATAAACGAACGAGATTTTCTTTTTCGTGTTCGTTCGTTTAACGAATTATCTTGTACATGTTCATTCGTTTATGTTCGTGAACATACTAAACGGACATAAACGAACGCACATAAACGAACAAATATAAACAAACACAATTGAACGTATATGAACATAAACGAACATATAATATGATAATATAATAAAAAAAATTGAACATAAATGAATATAAATAAACTAAAGGAATGAACATAAATGAACGTAAACCGATATTATAAACGAACGTTCACGAACATAGATGAACAAACGAGACCATTGTTAATATTCGTTCGTTTAACTAAACGAACGATGATTTTTGTTCATGTTCGGGTTATTGTTTTAATTTGTTTATTCGAAAAAAATGTCAAAAAAAATCATTATATAATTTAAACGAACAAAATGTCAAAAAAAATCATTATATAATTTAAACGAACAAAACGTCAAAAAAAAATCAACATTAAAAAATATATTTAAATAAAACGTCAAAAATATTAAAAGATTTCTAAACCACAAAAACAAAGATAAATAAATAAATCAAAAAAAAATAAATAAATAAATAATAATAATAATAATAATAATAATAATACGATTTTATATAATTTAGACAATTAATTTAAAAAATAAAAATAATTTTATAAATAATCTATATTAATTCTATTAAAATAAAGATAAAAAAACAGTAATATATATATATATATATATATATATATATATATATATATATTAATAATAATAATAATAATAATAATAAAAATTGTTAAAAGACAAAGAAAAAAGAAAAAAAGGGTAATTTGGTCTTTTTATATGGACCAAGGACCTACGGTGCAATTTTCACAAACCACAAAGATGTAACCTATCAAATTTTAAATTTAAGGATCAAAACTGAAAATTCGACCAAACCACAAGGATATTTTTGTAATTTACTCTTATCTTAATGATTTTCAAACTTTCCTAGTTAACTTTAAAGGGTGTTTTTTTCCACACACCAATCTACTACACAACAATCTATACCTATTTAAAAATCATAATTATTGACTAATTATTCGAATAATAAATTATTTATGTTACATTGTTTTCCGAAAAAATAAAATTCCTGTTCTCTCCTTTTTAATCTCTTTCTCTCTCTCTCTTATATATCTATATATATATATATATATATATATATATATATATATATATATATATATATATATATATATATATTATTTATCTTATTATTTAATAAATTATATATATTTATTTTAAGCTAATCCGAAACGGTTATTTAATTTTAATTTTAAATTTTTGACGTTTTCGAATTATACATAAGTTAACCCGAAAGGCGAAACAGTTATATGTTAATTCGTAATATTCGAGTTATACATAAGCTAATCAGAATCTATAAACAAATAATATTAAACTGTTGTCAGACCAGGCGAAACTCGGTACCGAGGGTGGTTCCACGACGACAACTCGGTGGTTTCGGTGGTTCGGAGAAGCAACGACGACATATAATTTCTAATCTTTAAATTATATGTGTATAATTCTTTGATGTATCCAATATCTCCTATTTCTGACATTATTGCTCGACGAAATATTTAATCAATTTGTTTTTAATATTTAATTAATTTTTTAATTATAAATAAATTACCAAATCATAAAATAAACCCATAATTTTTGATTATTTTCAATAAATCAAATAATGAAATGCGATACATAGTGAAAGTATTTTAAAGAAAACTATGATTTTATAGAACTTTTTCAATTTAACTTTTTGTAACACTAATTAAATTTTAATTATTATTTTTGTTTTTATGTGTTTCTTAACCTAAAAAAAATGAAATCAAGCCAACAAAAAACAACGGCAAAAATAAGTTTGCAACTTACTGTATAATGCATTTAATGTCGTACATCATAGTTTGCAAAATATAATTATTTTATATATTTGTTCTATTTAACTTATTTTTGAAAAAATCAGTTTGAATTTAAATATATAAATACCAAAAAGTAATTTAATAAATTAGTTTGAAATAAAAATGTAATTACTAAATACTATAATTAATAATGATTAGACAATAATAAAGTAAGAAAAGTTATTGGGAAGTATAATGATTAGGCTATGAAAAATAGACTGATGTGTTTTTCGTAGGACCAAACTTTAAATATTGAATGAAATTGATTGTTATTCTTTATATTTAACCTAAGATGGTTAGATATAATTAAGAGAAATCACAAAGGTGCCTAAAATAGTAAAATATATATTAAAGAAAATAATCAACATTTTTAGTTTTTATAAAATTAACAATCAATTTTACATTGGGCTCACTGTGAAATTTGAACATCCCAAAAATGGTCATTTCCTTTTCAAATCATTTTCAAACATTTCTTTAATTATTTTTAAACAAAAAATATGTTTCGAAATGTTTGTCGACTAACGCTCTACTTCATATTAGACCTTTCAGTATGGCACCATCCTTACGCGTGAAATGTTGAGATGACAAACATGTCCGATAATGAACACCGCCCCCAGGGACGAGTAGGTGTGATGTGATGTGGAGTGGACCTCTCTACTCATGCTTACGCCCAATAGGATTGCTTGATTTCGAAATGGTCCAAACAGTCACAAAAATGGTTGTTGTCTTTTACATATTAAAAAATTATTTCATTTTCAATGTGGAGTGGTAATCATTTTCAATTAGTAGTAGTGTAGTAGCGAACATGTAGTGAAGATGATGTGGTGTAATGTGACAACATTTTTCTAGTGGAGATGTAGTGACCATACCTCTTAATCAAGGTTGTGAAAATTGCTCGGCGATCGACTGACGTTAAGCGATTAATCGGACATGGCGTGGGTTAATCGGTGATTAATCGGAGACCTTAAATTAATATAAAATTATTTAAAAAAATAATATATCCTTAAAAAATAAGTATTTCAAAATTTAAAATTTTGAAAATTTGAAAATTTTAGTATAATATCTTAAAATTGTAAAGCTTAAAACTTTGAAAATTAAAAATTTTGGTGTAATATTTGAAAATTAGAAATTTTGAATTTTTTAAATATTTCCCGTCTATGACCGCTGAGGACCGCCAAGGGCCTCTAAACCCGCGTTTGACCGATTTTAACCAATTTCTGCCAAACACTTTAATCGTAATCGGTTCAAAACCATCAAATGATTAAGCGCCGATTAATCGGCTGCCAATGCCGACTTCTGCAACACTGCTCTTAACCTTAGGATTTTTTTTCGAAATAGTTAACCTTAGGATTTTATTTTGCTGCTAATTTAAATTCTCTTTTAAAGTCCTAGTAACAAAAAGAACTTCAAAAAATCATTAAAAATTATGATTTTGCAATAAGTGAAAAAATGGGTGTTGCTAAATTAGGGATGTCAAAAGCTGACACGACACGACAAAAATACACGATACGAAACAAAATTGAGACGAAATCGAAATTTGAATTCATGTTCGTGTCGTATACAAGAAACACAGCGTAGTGTCGTGTTCATATTTAAAATTCGACACATAATTAACCCGATAACAACACGATATTAAACCGATAGCAACACGAAATTGGACCGATATTAACACGATAATAGTCTGATTTATACTTTATTAAATATTAAGTATTAATATACTATACATATTACGTAAGACTTTAAATAAATTAATTTTTTTTTAATTTATTGGAAACTTGAATGTCTTTTGGTTCTTATATTTTTTGAAAACTCAAACGATATCTAAATTCCATATTCTAAAAGGACCAAGACTAGTTGGAATTGATGATACCCGACTGCTCAACGTCAAATTAATAACCTTCTTAATTTTACAATGGCTTGGCTCAAGTGCTCATGTTAATTTGTCATTCGCTGACTTGCTGCTAAGTGGAGTTTTTTACATAAGTCTTGTAGCTGGAAAAAATAATTACCAATTAATGGTATTTTAAAACATATTTACCTATTAATTGTAGTTTTATTATAAATAATCAAAAAACAATTTACACCCTTTTAGCATGACGCGCTCATAGTCTGACGTGTTTTCTTTCCTCACAGTTTTTCTCCCTCCTACATCGGTTAGGTATCTTCTTCTACCTGTAACCTCCCTGAGCCTTCAACACACCAGTAACTGCTATTTTTCCTGTTGTGATACCTTGAAAATTTTTATGCTATGCATATCTTCTTTTTGCCTTCAAATGGAATTCTTTTCTCCAAAGGCATGGAATCGACTGATATTTTTCTTTGTGCAACTAAATAGATTGGTTGTTTCTTTTGTTTTATTGCTTTGAGCTCATGAACAGAACCAGAAGCACGTATGAAATGGGCTAGATAGTAGATATGAACATAAGCATTCCGTTTAGAATTGCGGAGCTTGTACATGTTGAGTAGATTTCCATCATGGTTAACGAGTTGCTTGTTTTGAATCTTCCAACATGACTTCTGTTACTATTGAACGTTGTCTTGATAATAAAAAATAATACATGGAAAAATACATTCAGAAGAAAAGATAACCGGGAGTACTTCCATTCGTTGGTTGAGAACTTTTTGCATCAATTATTAATCAATGTTGGGTGTATTTTTTCTTACAGTCTCGTAATGTTTTGTGATTCAAGTCAACATTTTTTTTTCTAATAGAAGGGTTTTTCTGTTGGGGTTGCCGATATTTTATAATACTCCCATGGCCTTTTCGCATTCACTGTGTGAACCCGAATGCAGAAATCATTGAACTTTAACTTGCAACCGCTTATTCTGATGAATAACCGACATACGGATATAATCCGCATGATAGATTATTCCAAGTTAGGTGCATCCCGAGAGAACCGTAGCGGTTTGGGTACGATGGTCAGTTGATGGCGTCAATCCGGCTAAAGAAATCCCGTCGGCCACATATTTGATTTTGTATGATACTTGTTATAATTTTACAAAGAAGAAAAGAGTTTGCTTGTGCCCAAGCGTCCTTGCATTTCTCCATCTATGATTATAGGAGGCGATGAAACAAAACAAAAACAAAAGGGTTTATAAGAGAGCAAATCGAACAAAACAAATGCCGACGAGGTTTTTATTTTCTATTTTTTGGTATAAAAAATCATGGGGCCGATAACCTAAAAAACTCATACTCCTCTTTTGTAAATATTTTTGAAACAACAAGGGTTTGGTAAATATTTTTCATAACTACTCTGCTTGTGCATAAAACTCCTGCTAAGTGTTCATCAGTTCATCCTTGTTGTTCATCGCAACTCAGTGCTCATAGTTAATTATTTGTTTTTTTAGTCCCTAGTTTCTTGTTCATCATTGGTGTTTATCTCATATCCCTAAGGCTTTATTGTTTTTTATGCTTTGTGTAATTTTCTATGTTTTGATTTCACGACAGTCGATACCATCTCTAATTCATTAATTTTATTTTATTTAATCATATCATTGGTTTGTGACCTTGTGTATGAATTGAGTTTAATATGCTTGTGTATGCCTCTTATAAAAAAGGAACTTTAGTATGTATAGTATTTTTGTTTCTGCCATTTATTTTTCTTGTAAGGAACGTACTGTTCATGAAATTAAAGCCTGCTCTTTTATGCTTCTTATCATAAACGAACTTTAGTTGCACTTTGAATTGGATTGTTAGCATTGCCTTTGTGTTCGTGGTCTCACTACTAGAAAAAAGGATTTTCTTGACAGACAAATTACGACATACAACATTTTTATGACATGTATAAACGACTGTCATACACCTTATGTCATATATCGTAAAATATCAATGATTTACGACAGACAAAAATGTATGTCGTAATTTTATGTCATATTTTAAAGAGTAAATTAAAATGATTTTTATCCGTTAATACTATAAGGAAAAGTTAGTAATCGCAAACAATAATACAATGATGCTATGTCAACAAGTACATGAGCACTATATAGTATGAAAAAAAATTAAAGCAGGTTTAAAGGATGTGAGTTAAATATTAAAACCAATAAACCACTAGATTAGTGCAAAAAAACTAATTACAAAGCAGGGGGAAAAACCCGAACTAGCGAACCAATTTGAAATAGCTCCACTTTGCTGTGAGGAAAAAAAAACAAAAAAATAAGTGTTTGAAAAAAAATTATATTTTGGTGAAAACTCTAAAAAAACTTGAAGAATGACCTTTCTAATCAGTAGGTTAGCATTATTTTTGTTTGCTAACCTACAAATAATAGTTATTATAAATAAAAAATGATACATGGTAGAAAATCTCATATATAAAAATGAAAATTATGCATGATAATAACTAGCAAAACACCAAAATTTTAAAGGAAATAAGTGTTTAGATGGCTTGTAAAAAAAATAATAATAAGCACTTGAAGGACGGTTTCTATAACAAAAAAAACTAAAAGAATTGAAGGACCACTTCTACAACTTGGATGATTTATGAATAGCAAAGAAGAATGCAGGGCTATTTCAGTAATGTGGATTCCAATTTCAATAAAATGAGGCGTTTTTTAAAGTATTACCTCCTAAGAGCATTACTTTATGTTAATTTGCAGTATTAGGCTACAGTCGCCACCCCTCTCGCCAAACACTCTCTACCAATATTTACACCATCTCCTATGAGTCGCTAAGGGACTCGCCAATGACGAGTCGCAATTGTAGTAGCGAGAAGAGAGAGAAGGAAAAGACTGACTGTTTGGTTGGGGTTGTTTTTTATTATTTTTTTTTTCAAAACAAAACCTATTAAATTTATCTCGCTACCACTCACTACCTTTTTTTAACATTGGCAATATAAAAACCTATGTGTCAATAAAAAATCCTAAATGGGTCACCTAAACCATATATCCAAATTTCACTAAATGGCCGAACCTAAACCATATACCCTAATTATACGGATGAATCTTCCATTTACTCTATCCAACAATCCGATGTCCTAATCGATCCCTATTTGATCGAGTTTCATAACCACATATCCACTGCCACCAGATATGATATTTTCAGACGCCTGACGACTGTTGATGTTAAGTTTTCGTCACCTGATTGTGTAACATTCTGTTTAAAATAAAATAAATAAAATAAAATAAATGAAATAAAATGAATAAAATAAAATAGGTAAATAAATAAAATAATAAACCCTAAAACCGCGAGATGTATTTTATATTTTATTTTAGTTTAGCCCTAAATCCGTAATAATTTATCAGCTTTAGCCATAAGACGCTAAATGGTATAATTTCCAGAATTTGGGGTCTATATTGTAAATTAGGACTTGAAATGTGAAAGATTTTGTGAAGCAAAGGTTGTTTAGTAATTATTGGATTTAAATTGTAAAGGAGTTGTAGAGGCAGGGACCAATCTCGTTAAAATACATCCAAGTTTGGTAAAACACGGACTTGAGCCCGTGATTCCTTACCCCTACCGTTTTTAAAGTGCAACACCCGAAAACCCTAACCCTACAACACTCTTTCAGCCGCCACCTTAATCCCGGGCATCCCAGCCGCCACCGGCCTGCTGCTGTGAACAACCGCTGCCGCCACCTCCGTTCCTTGCTGCACCGATTCGCTGAGCATCCCGTCTACCTTCCCTTCTGACGAGAACGAGTGGCGACCGTGAGTGCGTCCGCTGCCACCATTCCTTCATCTTCTTCTTCTTTCTGTCGCCATCTGCAACCGCAACACGGCAGTTGTCGGTGCTGATCCGACTGCCCCTCGCCTTCTTTCTGTCCTGCAGCAGCTAGCCGCCACCGTCGCCGCTCGTACTGCCCTCCCATCCGCTATCCGCTGCTCCGGTCGTCGTACCACCCCCGAAGAGGAAGAAACCAAAAGTTATATATCTAGCTTCATCGTAGCTTTCACGCCATAACACACTTGTATCTGCATCTGTCTATGAGTCAGTTCAAAAGGATTTGGATTACACACAACACAAACACTACAGTCTCCATTATGTGTAATAGTTTGTGTGAATTGTTTGATTTAATAACGCACACAATATGCATCTTCCTTAATGTGTGACCTAAAACATGATTTGAATTGAGTGTATGCTCTGAATATTCGTGAATTTATTGAAAATTGGGTTAAATTATGTGTTGAAGGCAACAACGATTGGGGCTTTTGCGAGAATGACAGTTGAAGATTCAAAAAAGTTGATTTCACCAGAATTCTACCCTTCTTGGGTTGTTTTATCAGAGACAGAAGTTGAATGATACTTATCTACCCTACATTCTTCCTGCTTATGTACTTTCTCTCCACTTTCTTTCTATCTTCTTCGGGGACTGATTATTCTACTTAATCTTTCAGTTGACCTGGCTTAATGCTCATCTTACAAAGATCTGGCCTTATGTTGATGAGGTCAGTTTTAAATTTTAAACACCTCTATTCACCATCATTATGGTAATATGCTTATCATGTGTTTTTGGATTGTCTTGTAGGCAACATCTGAGCTTATAAAGGCTAATTTGGAGCCAACTCTTGAACAATACAGACCAATGGTGTTGTCCTCTTTGTCATTTTCCAAGTTTACCCTCGGCACGGTGGCCCGCCAGCTTACAAGTTAGGCTAATTGATAGTATTACCATTTGTATTTATCCTTTTATTGTAAGAAGATTCCACATATTCTTGAATCTTAATTATCAATTGTTTATATTGTTTAGGAGTTTCTATTGTTGAAGATGGAGGTGAAGGAATAACTATGGAGTTGGAAATGAATTGGGATGGAAACCCTAGTATAATACTTGATATCAAGAGTAGACTAGGAGTTGGATTGCCTGTGCAGGTAATTCAATTTGCCTAGCTGTCAAGGGTTATTATTGGAATTTGGAAAATAATTGGCTTCAACTTTGTTTACTATTAACAAACCATATTCTTTAATCTTAATCAGTTTTGTTGTTCAGGTGAAGAATATTGCATTCACTGGGGTTTTTAGGTTGATTTTTAAGCAAATAATAAGATGATCATGATCATAAATTTTTTGATTATTGATGCTTAAAATAACCAAATTTGGAGTAATACCTGAAGCTCAAAACTTTTCCATGTGCAGTAGAATTGCTGCTTTTTTTTTTTTGCAAACAAAGGGCGTAAACTTTGTGCTATAAGCACAGATGGAACAACATGCGAAATGAACTCTGAAACTGGTGAATTGTTAAAAGAAATGAAAATCTCAAAGAAAATTATCTCTTCATCTGTATATTTTTCTGGTGAGTCTTCCTAACACATGGTCCTTAAATTGTCTTAACCTTTTTCTTCTAACGTTTGTTTTCTTGTAATGATAGATGATAAAATATTAGCTGCATCAGATACCAATATCAGAGTTCTCACCTTAGATGATGGAGAAGAACTACTTAAGTTTTCCACTGATAATGTATGTTCCTACCTTTTGTATGCACATTTTTAAAGTGATTACTGCAGTTCTGATGAATATTTTTTTTTGACTTTTCTTTAGGCCCTGTGAATCATATGTTTATGTTGGATGATACAATCACCATAATTACATCTGTATTTGGTGACAAGAATCTGCATGTGTGGAAAAATGGATCAAGTCAACAACCATTAGCTGCAAGAGACTATGCATCGAGTACAATTATTCCAACTTGTAATGTTGTGATTGACATATCAAATGCTGCAAAAGATTTGATTGAACAAGATAATACTCTTTACATGCTTCCATCAACCCCACAAGCACTGTTGGATTTAATGGATGGCTCTACTGGACCTGATGCTATCATTGTTGCAGAAAAGAATGTTGCCCTTTTGACTCCCCGAGCTGGTTCCTGAGACCCCTCTTCTATTCCTTCTATTTTTTGTGTTTCTGCTGCCCTTCAATATCGTACATGTATGTGTGTGTGTTAGAGTGATGTGTAATTACTAAAATACCCTTGGTTAATTTTTGGGTTGGAAGGTTCGGATGCCTACTTAGCATCGGTGTTGGAATCGATGGAATTCTGTTTGAAGTTGCGGGGTTCGGAAGCTTGTGTTTTGGAGGACTTAGCAAAAGCTATCAATCTGGTGCATATCAAGAAGGATCTTGTGGAAAGTGGTCACGCGTTGCTAAACCATGCTTATCACAATCAACAAGAATACTAAAGGTATGAGGGTGGAACTGGAATCTGTGATCCTGATGGAATTGGAATATGTGATTCCGTTCCGATGCCAAATAAACGGAGTTTAATTCTATCTGAAGATGTAACCAGAATCAGTGATTCCGACAGAATTGGAATCAGTGTTTCCGATGGAACCAAGACCTTACAAAAACTTCAAATGAAAACCAAAATTGCAAGAGAACCTTTTAACATTATGGTTAGTGTAATGGAATGTATTATTGTATATGTATGATGTAGGATATCTTATTTTGCATTATTAGACATTAAATGTGTAATTTAGTTTGTTTAATATTTGGTACAAATTTAGAATATATATATATATATATATATATATATATATATATATATATATATATATATTTATATGTAAATATGACATAAAAATATGTCGTAAAACTATGTCAAAAATCATGTCGTATAGAATGTAATAAACGTCTGTCATAATTACAAGAATGTTACGAATTACGACATACAAAGCCAATCGTAAATGTATGTCGAAAACGTGTGTCGTTTTTGTATGTCGTAATTGTGGGTCATAAAGGTCTGTCGTAAATTTATGACAGACCAAATGTCTGTCATTATCCTTTATGACATGACTTTCAATGACAGACTTTTGTCTGTCATGTATAGGCATTTACGACAGACAATGTCTGTCAAGGAAAGCTTTTTTTCTAGTAGTGTCTGTTAGTGTAGTTTTCTAGTCCATCCCATTGTCAAAAATTGATTATTTATATTTGATAATTGTTGTGAAATGATTTGTTACTTCTTCTTCGAGATATATAAGTGGAAAAAGGAAATATTAAAATTCAATGTTAATGAGCCAGCCAATATCCCTGAAAACTCTAAAGCATATAGTTATCATACATATAGTTTTTTATGATGTCAAATTTGAATTGCATTCTAATTCAATCAGAACTAGGTGTGAGACCGTGTTGTATATGGAGCTTTTTTTTAAGAAACTTTTTAATATAAAGTGGTAAGCATTACATATTTTTTTTAGTGATAATTTTACATAAATACAAAAGATATAATGAATAAATCAACCTTTTCAATATATAACCAAAAAAATAAAAATGTATGTAATTATAAAATGATGATGAAAATAATGTTGTAATCAGGGCCGGTCCAAGAAGTTTTGAGGCGCGGGGCAAAAACAAAAAAATGAGGCCCCTTAAAACATCATAAAATATAATGAAAATGCATGTATGAAATAATGACACAAAAATACTTACTAAAATTCATATGATTATTCATTCTTATTAGTGATATTTTCCTTTTTATAAATAACATTATGATTTAGTTGGTTATATTCTCATTCATGTGAGTGTTATTTCTATTCTCATTCGTGTATAATAGATCAACTTTATTAGGTTTTCTTCCAATAAGTTGCTAGGTAATTTTTTATATTTTAGTTATAATAATAATTTATATTAAACAATTCCAATTAAAAAACTAGTATTAAAAGGAAAACAATATGATATGGTGTCTTCTATAGTTGATTTTTCTCCTTGGAAAATTGAAATACACCTGCCATACTACTTCTTTAGTTCTCTTTCGATTTTGCTGCTAATAAAAACCCATTACATAATTTAACTATAATAGAAGTTAAAAGGAAAAAGATAAAACAAAGAACACACAGAAACTTACAAATCAATAGTCTCACAAAAACTTGAAGACTGATCCATTCTAGACAAAATAAATGTAGTCTTTGAAGTTGTTATAAAAATATATAAAATAATAACCCAAAACATGAATTCAAAAAGTAAGAATAAAGTTCAAATAACAGAGCTTGATCTCTAGAAGTTTAAAGAAGTAATTTTAACCACAAAAGAACGCACAAGAAAACTTATAAGTTACATTTTTACTTGCAAGAACACATGTCTCAAAGATTTCACAACACAAGTCTACAAGAATAAGATGTTTTGCTTGCAAGTACACAAGGCTTACATATTTCAGAGTAACAAGATGACACATTTTCGATTTCTCACTTACCCATTTATGCCTTAAGGCTATCGGCAATGGTCACACGTGGTTTTGTGAATAAAGGTGACGGCACATAGATATTTGAAAGACCCTAACTTTCGTATTTCTGAAGACATTCTCACTCCAAAACATGCTACATGCATATTCATAAAAACAATCTTTTACATTGATAATTTGATTAAATAAGACTGGATACAAACCAACTAAGTTTTTAGTATATTACATAACTACCCAGGATATTGTAATTTTATACATACGTAAACCGAAGTACGTAAGTAATAGTAAAAACTATTCTACATCTTCCGACAGTATATAACCATACTGGTTACTTATCTCCTTCAATTATTAAACACTGAGACGGGTAAGCGGTGACACTTAGTGAGTTCAATAATAAATACAATATAACGTTATGCCATATATATACTTCAATATGGCAGAAACAAAGAGGAACAAGGAACAACAAATGCATATGTGAATCATGTGACAAACTTTCCACATCAATCAATGATTTGATACAAAGATATATGATCAATAAAGCTTCGGCCCAAATGGCACAGAAGACATACACTTTCTGATTTAAACATTTCGGTAGATTTCAGGCTTATAACCCTGTCTAACCATCTGCCAATGCCATAGAATAGAAGTCATTCTCTTACGGAGACATGTTCTACATGGCCAGAGGCTACGTACCAGTACCACCGTGAATCTAAGTCCTTTCACTGATCACATGGTCAAAGGTATAGCTTTGCTATCATAAATAGCAGAAATAAAAATAACACGAGAAAATAACCCGGAATAATAACACTGAAAAGCACATAGCACATATAACACATAACATACAATTGTTCCTATGTATTAAACTCACCGTGAAATAACCGGGGGTTAAAATAGTAATTTGGGCAGCACTTCGTTACTATAATTAGATTTCTTCGTTGAGAACCGGGAGTTTTCTTGATAACCGGGCCTTGCGAGGGTTGGGCTTCAAACCGAAAAGATAAATTTCTCGGGCACTTCGGGGCGTGTTTCGGGTGTTGGAAATGATCTCGGGGCTTCGGGGGAAGTCGAAATAGTGAAAATATGAGTTTAGGGGTGAAAATGCCAAATTTCTAAATCTAGTCGGGAGATCTCGCAACCCCCCTTTTATAGGGTGCGAGACCGAAGCTCGATGGCTGAGAAAGCTCCACGCGGCAGCAGATGCGAAGCTCGGATCCGGAGGGGAGGCACCTGGCACGCTTCGGACAGAGACATGCATCGGTCTCGGATTGGGCCACACTTCGGATGCGAGGGCTCGTCACTGAGGCCACACGCGTCAACATCTGATTGGACCGAACCTCGGACTCGAGAAGAACGCGACACGCGGGTCGGACACGGGGCAAGCGGCGAGAATCCGGGTGACGTGTCCGAAATCTAACCTTATCCATGCGAGATTTCTCGGTTTTTGTGCCAAAAACTTCCGAAATTCATAAATTTTTGCATACGAGCTCCGTTTTTGACGTTCTTTATATGCACGCGTAGGTAAAACTATGCTCTACAACTTTCGTTTAGACTCCGTCGGCTAATTTTGAATTTATTTTTAATATTATTATTTTTAACAGACCGGGACAGGAACATCCGTTAAAAATTCATAACTTCTTCATTCGACGTCCGTTTTCGTCAGTCTTTTTACCGTTGTACTACTAATGACGAGACCTTCGATTCTCGTTTAGTTTTTGTTGGTTAAAAATCACTCGATCTAAAATTCGAGTTTTTAGTTGTCTATAAGCTGAAACTTAGGAAAATCATAACTTCCTCATACGAAGTCAGATTTTGGCGTTCTTTTTATCATAATTCTCGGTTTAACAAATACTACGACTTTCATTTAGATTACTAAGGCTAAAAAGTAGTTTATCAAAAACTCATTTTTTACGTCATTCGGTGTCGTGCCGGTTTTGTCGCGGATCTTCGATTAATCATAACTCCTTCGTTATAACTCAGATTTCGATGAGGTTTTCGCCTAAATGCTTCTAATGAGATTCTTTACAAATTTCAGTAATAAAATTTTACTTATTTCAAATTTTATATTTTCGTAAATTTCAATATTTAACTTTTGATTGGAATCTCATAAGACTTCCAATATTTCCCGAGCGATTCTAAACATAGTTTTACTTCATTTCTAGTAAAAACTATCCGTTAGAACTCAATGCTCATAATTATTTAATATTTCATAATATTATTCACTTTTAAAATTACATAACACGATAACTGAACGTGTATGTTACAATATTTTACCATTCCACACCCAAACCATCGGGTTTAGGGATGGTGTTCACCGGTGGTTAGGTAGTGAAAGTGCAAAAAGAAGAGAGAGACAAAAAGAGAAAATGTGAGGGAACCAATCAAATGTAGCGTCTTCGTCCGTGGATGGGGCTACGCCACAAGTCACCTACGCGCGTTTGGGGCGGTGTTCAGGCGTAGGTTGGCTTGCCAACTCAGCTCCTACGCGTGGAAATCTCCTTCATACTGCAAAGCCTAATTAACCTTATTTATGCTTCAGCATTCATCAAAACTGTAATGAAGTTGTGTATTACGAGGATACATCAACATACATTTAATTGCTTCTTGAAAATGAAACATCATCTTCTGGAAAGGCACATAAAATATCTATCTTAAGTAAAATATGAAAAAATTCGAATGTTGCAAAATTCGAAATCTAAGACCTCAATAATCAAAAGTCTAACGCCTCAACCATCTAAACTACAACAATCTTTTGTTATGTATTGCATATTATAATTTATATCATCTATAACTACATATATATATATATATATATATATATATATATATATATATATATATATATAGACACACACACAATAATCGTAACTCGAAGGGGCCCTAGTTTTGGTGAGGCCCGGGGCGGTCGTCCAGCTTGCTCATGCCTTAGGGTCGGCCCTGGTTGTAAACATCATTATTTAATTTAATTTTGCTATATATATATATATATATATATATATATATATATATATATATATATATATATATATATATATAATGATGAATGAATACGTAAGATAAGTTAGGAAGCGTCAAAGTCTCGCGATAAAACTGACACGGATACGGATAGCATAAAAAGTGAATCTGGGTTAGGTTGTTTTTTAGCTTAGGAAGTCTAAATGGAATTTATAGATGTCATAAAAGCGAATTTGTGCATATAGGTATCGTCTAAATCTGACTTCACTAGAGGAAGTTATGATTTTTCTAAAATTCAGCATAGCAGT